ATCTATGCAATGAGACAAGATTGAAGCATTTCACATACACGACAAGTTTAAATCTTCAAGGAATAGCAACTTGAAATTTAAAGAGTGAAATCAACCAATGTGGAAACTTGAATATCGTCCGGATTAAAACCGTACTCTTGAGATCACTTTAAGGCTACTAACCCATGGGTACCTTTCCCCTAGTGCGCACTATAGTTGTAGAGGGACATTCTCCCGTACTAGACATAATCCTATAGAGATGAGCTTCAAATGGATTCATAAATACTTTGACATTGAATCCTAAACACTTACCATCCTATCTACCCCTTTCTTCATTCTTTGTCCATGATCATTTAAGCTTTAAAGTATTCTCATTTTCATCCTTTCTTTGAGTTGCTTTCTTCCTCATTATAGTCCAAGTTATCTTTCCTTGCAACTTCAAATCTTCTTTGTATTCATGGCTTTCCTTGATGTGATCTTAAATAATGGAATACTTGGAATGATCTTTAACTGTACACTGTTTAAGTTGAATAATATGGTATATTTGTGTAATAATATGATATAGGTTATAATAATACGGCATATTGTCCATTTAGCCCTTATTCTTTGGAATTGTCCATTTAGCCCTTACTTCATTTAGGGCTTTACATAATTTGTAAAAAAAAAAAAAAGAAGAAGAAGAAGAAGAGATAAGAAAGAAGGAAGAAGGTCTGCGTCTGAGTCTTGGGTCTGCGTCTGAAAAGAACCATCCTTACATCTCTCTTGCCCTTTTTGTAGTTGAAAAAAACCCTAGCCTCTCTTCTGCGTCTGAGGCTTGGGTCTGTGTCTGAAGAGAACCATCCTTACATCTCTCTTGCCCTTTTGTAGTTGAAGAAAATCCTAACCTCTCTTGCACTTTCTCAGATTCAAGAAAACTGAAACCTCTCTTTTGCCCTTTCTCCTTCTTTCCTTTTCGGTGATTAAAGAAGACCCCATAACCTATTGCCCTAAAAACCCACAAAGCAAAGATGTTATTTATTTTTGATTTGGAGTCCTGCTTTCAACAATATTAAGCAGCTGTTCAAAAAGTCTGAAGTTCTCTAGTTGGGTGAGTGTGAATTAGTCATGTTTAATTTAATAATGCTGCAGCATATATATGCAATGTTAGATGAGGTGCCTAATGTTTGCATTCACATGTATGTATGTTATTTACTCCCTGATTTAGGGCTAATTGGAAGGTAATTAGTTACCTATTTTAGCTAAATCATATTCTATAAATTGGATGTAATACCATCAATGAAAGTATCGAATTGAGTTTTAATTCTCATATTCTTTCTTTGAATTTCAAGATGCTCAAGTATTTGAACCCGAGTATCCAGGAAAAAGCAAAATATTTGATGGAAGAACGGGGGATCCTTTTGAACAACCTGTTCTAATGGGAAAGCCTTATATCTTGAAATTAATTCATCAAGTTGATGATAAAATCCATGGACATTCCAGTGGCCATTATGCACTTGTTACACAACAACCCCTTCGAGAAAGGGCCAAGTAAGGGGGACAGCGGGTAGGAGAAATGGAGGTTTGGGCTCTAGAGGGATTTGGTTCACATGTGTGCATTAACATACATACGAGATCCTAAACGTTTTTTATTTTATAATTTTTTAGTGATTAAAAAGCACTACATGATCATCCTTTCTTTTCTTCTTTTTTTGTAATTGTGTTGCAGTGTTGATCTTTCTTGAAGATTCCAGTTATTACATTCAGAAAAGGAAAAGTTACGAACTTTCTGTGTTCTCCACGCCATTAGTTGAATATTTACAAAATAACTTTTTGGTGGCTTGTATGTATATCTTCTTCTTGTACTGGCAAGTTGGTCTTTTATTAAAAAAATCTAAAATCTTTCTTACATTTCCTAATTTGTTTTGGTAATTGTTCATTAAAGTTGAAATTTCTATAATAAACCTCTCTTCATTTGGAACAATACTATTGAAACTAAATTGTTGTATGTTTTATAACTGTGCTAGAAATTAGAATAAAGTTGTTGTGGCAATGGATAGTTCTCTATCATGTATACAATCTAATTTCTTGGGGATTGCAATTGTTCAATTAAGTTCAGAATAGATATGAAATTGTTCAATTAAGTTCAGTAATTCCCTTTTACATATATTACATTTTTTGGCTGAATTATTTTCCTGAAATTGTGGTTGCATAATTGTCACTGAAATTCGATATTGCAGCTTGATATGTCAATTTTTTTTAAGGCCTGATATTGACTTTTGATTCTAATGTCCTTTTAGTATATTTTATTTTATTTAAGAATAGGTTGAAGAATGGGCACATTATTACAAGAATAGGCGGCTCTTGAAGGTCACTTGCTGAGATGGCATTACTTCGTCAAGTTACCAAAGAATACTGTAACGGTGAGCGTAGCAACGGTTGAGTATATTTTTTTTTGTCCTGACAAACAAAAAGCCAACCGGCCATAACAGGATCACCAACAAACAAACAGAAAAGCAGCAACAACATACAGCCACATACACAGCAAAACCAGACGACTCCAAAGAAACCTAACATTAAGCTAAGACATGACGAGCTTAACCAGTTTCTGTTGGAGGAGAGCGTCCAGCGCCAACCAATATAGTAATTTTTGTTGCAAAAGACTGGGAGAAGTCGGAATTAAGTAAAAGAGTCAGTCAGTTGCGCCCCCACCCCCCAGATGAAACGGAATCGACACCAGTCAGACTACTTGGCAGGCAAAATAGGAAGATCAATAGCCCCAGTGGACCCCTCCCCATGACCATCTCCACCCGGGAGCCGATTTCGGATCACCTACACTGGACAAAGCGACCACTGCATTTTGCAAGTTAAGCGAATGATTAAAGGAAGGTCGACCCAAAGGTCTCCCAAAAATCCCACGAGATTCACTAGGCCAGTCCGGAAAGTGACGAGCCAGAGAAGGTGAAGGAGGATGACCCATATCCTCCGCCCCATCAGTTCAGTATCATCCACATAAAGTCATTTTTTATAATATCACCCCTACCATCACCCACTTCTTTCTCCGGCTGCTATAAATTCCTGCCAATAAACCCTTTAACCCCCAGCCAACCACCATACTCCTTAAATCCTAACGACGAAGAACCCCGTTCCACAGTGCAAACTTTTCAGTGATGGCCAATAATACCACAAAGAAAACAGAAAGATGGTAGTTTTTCATAACTCACTTGAGCATTAGAGGCCATGCCAGTTGGATTAGTTAAAACTACATAATGGCGAAGGGGCTGCAACACATCTAATTCCACTTTAACACGCAAGACCCGACTGTCCGCAAGCACCTTTAAGCAATACTTTTATCTCGGAGCTCAACTTTTAAACATCGCCCGAAAGAATTAGCAATCCGTTGGCCCATCTTTTCAGATAAAAGGTTCGCCTTGACATCAGAGATTTGGATCCAGAAAGGGAACAACCGGAAGGGAGCTTCAGAGGTCAACAGGCCCTCCTCCAACACTTTAATAACCACAAGGTGACCATCTAACAACCATGGACAGCCTTGAAGCACACTCTGTCAAACACTGGCATCTGGAATGAGTAATTGAAATAAGTTCCTCCCCATCTTAAACACTTGAAGCTGCTGGGACATACTATGATTATATTTATCTTTTGGCCAAAGCTTGGTAAATAACTTGTCGAAAGTGAATTTCGCCCCTGCAAGAGACTATCATTACAAACCTGGACTCCTTGAGCAGAATCCTCTTCAGATAGGTGAATCGGCTCTTTCTCGGCCGGCGTTAATGTCAAACCGCCAAACTGGTCCAGAACTCCTTGTTCCATCTTACCCGCAGACAAGAACATGAAACAAAGAAAAAGGGGAAAAACAGTTACACCCCACCTAAAGCACAGAAAGAAAATGACAGTCGATGTATAACACACCCCATGAGAAAATCGGGTAAACACCAAATATATAGCCCATGAAGGGGGTAGAAACCAGAAACATATCATCATAAATATAGAGCCACCGCCATTGAAGTACCACTGACATAGGCTGAAAAGGCAGTTATGCACAGCTCGGGAGAGATATTCTTAGAAAATGTAAATCCAAAAGTGTAGCGCACTGCAATACAGTCCAGTCACAGACCAAATCAGCACATTGCCAAATAGAAGAGAAAAAAACGTACCCAATAGAATCAGAAGGATATAGGTCAATCGTAATAATAAGTTATTTTTAAAAGGAAGTTCTAACTATGATCCAGAGTAAAACCAGTCTTTAACAACACTGGGTTATATTTAGTTCTAGATACAACTATTTCGATTTCAGTTCTAATTCTTCAAAAGTCGTTGGGAACGATTCCGTTCCAATTTAACTTGGAATCATGCCGAACCGAACCAAATGCACCATTTGTAAACCATGATGTTAACCTTACAAAAATAAAATAAACACAATACAATGAGAAAAGTCACTTGCACACTCTGGTTTTAGTTAAACAATTTTAGAATTTTTGTGTGTCTGCGACCATACGGTAGCAGATAGTAGGACCCATTAAGAACCCTAATCTCTATCTTACTGCCAGAAGATTCAATTTTTTTGAAATTCATTGATTCTCCCCTTCTTCATCTTCTACCCTCTAGTTCTTTTCTGTTGCCAAAAAATTAAAGAATATGCATGGAAAAATAACTTTTTTAAACAAAAGAAAAAGATGAAAGGAAAACCACTTAGGAGGGTTTTTTGTGCTAGTAACCATTTCTGAAACAAAAAGTGACAGCGTGATGAAAAAGGAATACTAATGATTTGAATCAAAAATAAAACTCAAGACTTCGGAAAACAAAATAAAATTTTTCCAAAACATTGTCCATACTTCTATTTTTCAGCAATTAAAAATTATATAGAGTGCCAATAGTTAGCACAACCAAATTCATCAAACTCACAAAAATGCCAAATAACAAAGCATTTATTTGACTCTGATGGTAACCCCATCTTCTATCAGATTAAAATGGTGATTCAAAACGTATCACAATCCATGGTTATATAGGACAAACATGACTGCCCATACACAGAAGCAGGGAATAGCACATGGCTTTAAATTTCAACAAGTGCAGCATGTTTTCATGGGTCATATTAATCTACAACAGTCAGCATCCATTTAAAGCAGAACACACAAGCACAAAACACATTGACAATAGGGGGAAAAAAGAAAAAAGGAAACTACAATCCGAGATATCAAAGTCTGAGAAATAACACAAGCAAACCAGAAAATAGTAGTAATTCAAATACCATAAATACCGTTCCCCTGACAGTTAAATTTTGTAGTTGGGAGATCCACGTGTACGTTCGATCTGCTCTATTACCGGAGAACTCGCTATCTTGAGCTGTTGAAACTTGCCCTGAAACTCAATGCGTATACGTTCGATCTGCTGTATTACCAGAGAACTCGCAGTCTTCAGCTGTTGAAACTTGCCCTGAAGCTCAATGTTCTTGAGATTAGGACCTGACTTGTGCTCTCGGATGAATATTTTAACTTGTAAACCACCCAGCATAGTTTTCAAATCATCATGCCCGTAGATGGCTCCAGCAAGGGAAGCATCTACACTAATTTGGGCAGTGATTGGGTCCTTGTTAATGGACAAGGGAGGACGTGAGTAAGGTAGCCTCATCCTACCAGCAAAACGTCCTGAAGCCATGGCACCGTGACTTTTACCAAAGGTTAGAGAAAAAGGCTTTCCAAATTCGCAAATGCCATGGGCAAAATGGCAATTTTCTCCAAATTTGCAGCCTTTAGCAGTATTATAATCGATGCACAGACGGGTTTTAAAAGCAGGTTGATAAGAGTCATCCGGGATGGATGGTGGGGATGCCACATACATTGTAGCTTGATTTGGTCCCAGCTTTATCATCTCCGCAGTGCTGCAAAACAAAGCATGAACCCCCACAAGATTAGATTGCACTTGAAGACTGAAAAGATATTGTGATCCTAAGCATAAAAAAAACCCCAAAACCATCTCATTAACTTGCATTGGTACGCGGCACCAGCATTGCAGAGGATTGTTTCATCTCAACTAAAAAATTAAAATAAATAAACCCTAGACATAACCGAGTGACAAGATGCAATTTAAAAAGTTTACAATAGATGGGTGAAGATTTGAACCTGACAAATTTTGTAACCTGTTCCATTTTGCTTCCCTTACCAGTTGATGAGGACTCCAATGCTGTTACAAAACAAAACTTTATTTTCTTCTTCCAGTTAGAATTTTCTAAACTTTTGATTTAGAAACTTTTAAGAATATAATAAACGCATAATAATTACTTTTTACCAGTAAAGGCGAAAATTTAGAATTATGAGCTACTCGAAGAATCACACAACCTGTAAATGGTTTCTTGGGTTTTGATTTTACAAACTCTAGTACCACGGTCCCATGCCTTCTGTTATTATTTCAGATGAAAATGCCAGCAAAATGTTCAAGCAACGTGAAAAATTCTAAGAATAATGATTTATAGGCCCAAGTCATTATATATAAATATATGAGATGTATTTTACTACTGCTTTTCCTAACTAGATGTCAAGTGGTAGTTGTATGTCCTAAATGTTCAATGACCTGATTCCCACACGTACCAAGAACCGGGATATGTTGCATTTCTACCGGGTGGGGAGACTTTGATCGAACCCTAAATAATGTACAACGATGGATATTTACTCTGCTGTGCCTGATCTACACGCTGATTAATTTATATTCTTTTCACAGATGATTTTGGATAGTAAACAATTAGTACATCCCATTTATTGTATATACTAATTAAAACGCATTATGTTCACCCCTTGATTAAAAATTGAAGAGGATAAAATTACTCTTATCTTGAGTTCTCTTCCGAATTTCATTGATACACTTATACCATGGTTTTAATGGTCATATATAACAATAATCACAAGTATGAATTGTTTGTTGATGCATGGATTTTCGATTATGAATGTTCTTTATGTGTTTTCTTATAGCGAATGGGTGGCCATTTGAGTGGCTGCTGGGCTGGGGAGAAATTTGGGCAGAAACAGAAACTCCATAGGCTCAGCAGAGGGGTCAAATGGTCTCCAAAAATTGGGGTGTCTAGAGTTGCCCCTCTTTGTTTGGCAACGATGAGTTGCTAAAAATGAAAAAGGTTGCCCATGCGGTAAAATTGTAATTTTACCCATCTCTAAAGAATAAGATTGTAATTTTGCCAGCGCTCCCGTTCACCCTATCGTTACACCTAGGTCACTCAAATCAAGTACGTTACCATTTAAGTTCTAGCTTCCATATCAGTTAGGTCATCCAAACTAGGAAAGCCCAATTTTCCACAAATTAAGTCATTCAAACGCGTGTGACGAGCGCGGCTCACTCAGCCGCGATGCATCTACGGCTAACAGACCGCGTGCGTGCAGTGCTAGGGCCTGATTCTGGTCAAATTAATGCCCAAAATCGGCCAAAACAGTGACGAAAGAGACAGAGAGATAAAAAGAAAGAAAAAAGGTCTTATATAGATCTACTAGATATCCTATAGACGCCTATGACTACAGAAAAGTGAAAATCACATAGGGCAGGATGGTGTCTTGTCTACTGGGGCAGTCGGGCACATCATTGAATCCCGCTTCTATGTGGTGGGCTCGAACAAGAAGATTCAAGTCAAATGTAGTTCAACTGAATTGCAAACCTACAATATGGACTTACGAGCCTAAAGATGACTCTAGAGAATTCAACCAAACATGAACTCCCATGACGTTTTTGGGATATGTAGGCAACCTAAGCAACTCTAGGTTCGGTCGCCCCACTTTCAAAAACATAGATTCAACAAACACTCACGTTCTCCTCTCGAAACATCGGTCCGAACTATGTTTGACCTCATTCTCATCACAATCGAGATACGTAGGCAAAAGCTCACTACTCCTACCTCGTGACTTCAGTCACTGAATTATCTTAACTAGCTTTGCTTAATAATGAGAACTAATCACCCATTTCAAGAAAATTAGCCTCGAAAAGTTATAAATCAACATACAATGCAGCACCGATTGATGGTTCCGGAAGAGTTTGATTGATATACCTTGAAGTTTTGATCAGATGCAGTGTTGCCAAACAATTTTCTCTCAAAACCCATAAACAAACCTTCCACAAATAGAATCAAAAACCACCAATTCCAAAACCAAACCATCAAATGGCAGTTAAATTTGATCCGACACCCAATGGAAGCCAAATAATAAATAGACCTAGGTTCCTCACGTTGAGTCTTGGTTAGAACACAAGATCTTGTGATGGTGAAGATTTGATGGAGTGAAATTCATTAAGCAGAGGAGATTCACATATTCACATATTCCTGTGGTCAAAAAGTACAATGACCTGAGTACTTGTACGAGGGATGATAGAAATCCATCAACCAATTCTACATGGATTGAAAATATTTTTTTTGAACAAAATTAAATAGCATCCACAAATGACAATAGAAAGTCTGCAAGAGGCACTTCATAGCAAATCACTTGGGTAATTACTTGGATCGGCAGTCTTCCCCAGGTAGAGGATGGAGTTCAAATTCACTCAAATGGTTTTAAAAAAGGACCGTTGGCCGTCCCAAATTTGGCATTTCTATCCAATTTTGACAAACAAGTTCTCAATTTCAGAATACCACATGCATTAGTTAGATTAACTATTTTAAAAATCATCTCTGTTGCGCCCAGGCTTTTTCGTCACCGGCATACCACAAAGTGTCCCTCCTCTATGGAAAAGTTTTTTATGCACTCCTTGATTTGACCTTGGATAGGCTCACAAGCATGTTTAGAAACTTCAATCATCGTGTGTTAGAAAGAAAAGTTATAACACAATAATAAAGGGTGCTGCAGAGTCAAAATTGGCCTAAAATTTGAGTCATTGACAAAAACCAGTGAAAGTTTAGCATGATATAATTTTAAGCAATATATGAGAATAAGTAAAACCAATAACGTGTTATAACTCATAAATACAATAATTCCTTCTCAAAATTTGTTATATTATATGCAATAAAAAAATTTTGCCTAAACAAAATAAAAGGTATTCCAGGTACAAATCCCTGAACAAAATTGTGAAGAGAAAGCTTGTATATATGAAATATAATATAAACTGATATATTATTGATGTGTATTACAAGAGTCTATTTATAGCCATAGCAAAAGAAGAAAGCTAATCTGCTAATGATGGTGCCAGCAACAAAGGAACACATATACATGTGGGGACTGATTCTACAACTTGTGAGGCCATGTGAGGCCTTGAGACAAGTGGGAGAATAATACAGCTGTAGAATAGCCTGTATTCTAACATATATTCTAACAGTCCCCCTCAAACTCGAGGAGAGTGATATGCAATCAACTTGAGTTTGGAGAGGAAAATAAAGTGGAGCGGAAGAGGAGAAGCGGATCCATGAGGATCTGACACAATCGAAATTGTGATGATCTTGCATGTAAAGTGCAAGATAAGGCGCGTGAAGTGCATGAAGACCACTGATGGAACGTGGTGATGCGGTATCGGAGTTGTGAAGAACCGATACGTTGAGTTGCTTGGGAGCACTTGAAAAGAGTGGGATTACCACTTAAGGCGCACTATGACCACAAATGGCGTGTGGTGACGTGGTGATGAAACTATGAAGACCCGACGCTAAGGGCGGGATTACTGTTGTTGCGCGTGGAAGAGTGGGATTAACACTTTAGGTGCATAGGCGAATTATGATGCGCTTGACAGTGCATGTTAGCGGATTCATCTGATGTGAAGATTTGAGTTGTTGATGACCGAGTAGGCGACTTAACGTTGTTGGCACTGTTGAATGAGAAATCCCGCAATGGAAGACTTTAGAAAACGAGTCTTCCCATTGGTCTTTGCTGGAGGAAGACTTTAGACAACAAGGCTTCTCGTTGGTCTTCACTGGAAGAAGACTTTAGACTAAGAGGGCAATGATGGTATGGAGTTGATCCATACTTGGGTTAATTGCCAAATATGGACTTTCATAACTGTGGAGTGGGCCAACCCATGTGGATGGCGGATGATTTTGAGTGGATCCATTGATAATCCCAAAACTGGGTTGCAACAATTCTTGAATGGGCCAAAGACAAACCATGGGTCAGGCCAAGGCTGACCGAAGAGGGAACAGAGTCAAAAGTGTGTAGCCACTGTCCACGTGAGTTGTGAATTTCTTTTTTAGTTGGCAGACGTGGGCTGCCAGCACTTTTGACTGATGAATAAAAGATTTGCACGCTTACTTGCTCTCTCCTATCTCCTTCCAATACATGATTAAAGTAATTATCAAAAATCAAAAAAAATAAATAAATAAATAAATGATTAAAGTAATGAAACAAAAGAATGAGTTAAGAATCCTTGCTCCAAATATTTGTTTCTAATCTATTTCCACCTTAGTAGTAGGTCTGTGCTACAAGAAAAAGGTGATAATGAGGAAAGCCGTATGATAATGGAAAATATAGGAGGCGGTGCCGTTGCCGTCAACTGATGAGAAGGGACGATAGTTAGCAAGGACTACACAGAGGCTGGTGACCAGAGATTGGCTCGGCGATTATGTTTGGTGTAGATTCACCCCCGGGGCTGGCTGTAACGGCAACCATCTGAGTTGACGAGCTACTGCCCGGTGAGCACAATGGATGACGACGGTGAGGTGACTACAGCGGCAGTAGGATTGGCAGTTACAGTGAGCTCCCAATGAATGGACTGTGTTACGGCAGCATAGAAATGGGTCTTTCTTCATAACGAGGCCTGCGGTGATGATGAACTTGGAAGACGTCGATGAGTTTGGTTCAATTTTCCAGCAATAATGAATTTACCGGCGTGGACAAATTTTCCAATGGTGACGATAGTGAGATTACAAACCAGTGATGGTGAGCTTGATAAGAAATGGGTTGCAGTGAAGTTGTCCACCAGTGGGACTCTGTTCACAGGTGTGGTCTTTGTTTTGTGCGCTGTTGATGAAGATGGTGATGTGTCCGGCAAGTGGATGTTCCACCCACGCGTGTATAGAACAGTAGCTGGCACGTTAGTTAGTGTCATCGGCGTTGAGGTGAGACAACGTCGGGGATTCCGAAGGCCAAGGTTTGAACGGTGAGGACAGTTTGTTGTGGATCTCGCCAGAGTTGAGTTGGCACGTGCAAAATCGCCGAGCGCGTGTTAGGCATGCGATCTAGAGGAAGAAGGTGACTGAAGCCGCGTGAGGCACATGGAATTAACGCGAGTTACAGTTGTCAGCGTGTGGCTGCGCGTGGCATTGACGATATGGCGCATGTGGCGGCGAGAATTTTTGCACTCGCTTCTGGTGGTGCATGGGAGCGTGTGGAATACCCTTTGGGGATGATTCTAGTGGTGTTATGAAGAGAAAATGAAAAAAGAGACAAAGGTTTGAAAACCACTCATGTTGATTGACGCCTTGATGTGGGGTGGTGGCTAAGCGGTAGTGTGGGTTTGATTGAGGACCTTGGACTGCCACCGGAGATGAGGCTTATGCCCGGCCGTGTCTCTGATACCATGTGAAGAGAAAGCTTGTAATTCTTCAACTAAAACTTTCAGAAAGAAGATAGTGGTGGTTATTTCAGAAGAAGAGGGGGAGATCCTCCAATTAGAAGAAGCAGTGGTGACACCCAATAAGGACTACAGATAGAGACAGCTCAAGTGGGAAGTACAAATGCAGTGAAAGATGGTTCTGTAAATCAAAAAGGTCCAAGTACAAAAAAGATAGGTCTGATGTGGTGGGTTCACAAGGTGGGATTAACTGTAAAAATGATTCAAGTTCACAAGTAATATCCATTGGGGTTCCTGCAAAGGCTGCAAGTGATTATACTAGTATCAAAAAGGATACTACTAAAGTTACACCTGCCATCTCTTCCAATACAACAGAAAAGATCAATGCTAAGAAGAAAAATATAGGTTTGTTGGCTACACAAAGAGTGACTAGAAGTCAAGGGGGGTGCGCCCTTACTTCCCCCCTCTCAATGATCACATCTTGGAATGTGAGGGGATTGAATAAGCCCAGAAGAAAAAAGAGATTCGTCAGTGGATCAAATCCAATGACTCATTTTGTCTGTTTACAAGAAACAAGGGTTACATTATCTAAGTTTGATATTATTTCAAAGAAAATTAATAGGAGATGGAGGTGGACTCATAACTATAATTCTCATGAATTGGGTCGATAATGGATTGGTTGGGATCCATTGCTGTTTAATGTCACTGTGGTGAATGAGATGGATCAGTGCCTGCTTCTTAAGGTGAATATTATTCAAACTGGTGAGGTGGTTTATTGTATTGCTGTGTATTCCTCTAATTCAGTTGCTGGAAGAAGAAGACTATGGGACCAATTGAATACACATTCCTCAATTGTTAATGGACCATGGCTGGTTGCTGGGGACTGGAATGCCACCAGGTTTCACTCAGATAAGCAAGGAGGTCGAAGAGTCCCCCAAAAGCTTCTTGATGAATTTAATGATTGTTTGCAGCATACTGGCTTGACAAAACTCTTTGCTACCAATGGAGATTGGACATGGTGTAATAGACAAGGCAGAGACGAAAGGATTTTGGCAAAGCTTGATAGGGTATTCATAAATGATGCTTGGCTACAATTGTTTATAGGTACTACAATTACTTATTTTGCTTCATCATCTTCAGACCATTATGGAGTTGTTATAAACATTTTTAGGCAATTTGCAAGTGGTCCAAAGCCCTTCAAAATGCTCAAAGTATGGTGTCTGCATGACGATATTTCTGAGGTAATTAAGAAAGCCTGGGATGAACCAGTAGTTGGTACTCCAATTCATATACTTCTGAAAAAAACTCAAAAATGTTAAAGTGGCTGTCAAAACTTGGAATAAGAATTCATTTGGAGATATTGAAGAGAGGGTTTCAGGTTCAAAACAAGCTTTGGAGGAACTACAGATTGAACTTCTGAATAATCCTACAAATGAAGGAAGTTTATCAGGATGCACTGTCTTCACAGGAGATATTATATGCTCAAAAGTCCAGAATTCTTTGGCTCAAGGACACTGACAGATGTACAGCTTACTTTTACTCAAAGATGAAGTAGCACAATCAGTTTAATGCAATTACTTCTGCAGAAAATGAAATTGGACACGTTACAAATGACACAGAAGAAATTAAAAAGGCTTTTGTTGATTATTATCAAGGTCTTTTTCAGGAGAATACAGTTGAAACTACCTTTGAAGTTCTTCCTAGGCATGTTCTATCTTTAGAAGATACGTTAATCCTGCATTCCCCTATTACAAATGAAGAGATTAAAGCTGCTGTGATGAATTTTAAACCAGATAAAGCCCCTGGTCAGGATGGAATTCCAGCTAGGTTTTATCAATCCTTCTGGTCTATTGTTCAACCTGAGGTATGTGCAGCAGTTCAGCATTTTTTTATTGAAGGTTCTCTTCCTATTGGGGTGAGTAGTTCTTTCCTCACCTTAATTCCTAAAACTAGTTCTGCTGTTAAACCTAAGGATTTCAGGCCAATTGCCTTGTGCAATCTCACTTATAAAATCATTTCAAAAATTCTTGCTTCAAGACTATCTTTGGTAATTCCTAGTCTAGTAGGACTGGAGCAAAGTGCCTTCATTAAAAGCAGGAAAATTCAGGAGGCAATTATAATGGGGTATGAAATGGTGAGTGAATTTAGTTCTAAGAATCCAATCATGGCTTTGAAAGCTGATATTTCTAAGGCATTTGACTCGGTTCTTGGAATTTTCTTCCGAAGATATTGGAAAATTCTGGTTTTAGTTCTAATTGGGTGAAATGGATTACAAGTCTTTTGAGCTCCACAAGATATTCTGTTTTATTAAATGGTTCACCCACAGGTTTTATTCAACCCTCGAAGGGATTAAGGCAGGGTTGCCCCCTCTCCCCTCTTCTGTTTACTCTGGTAGCTGATCAACTCACACAACTTATTAACATTGAAGTTTTAAATGGGAGACTTGTTCTGTCTAATACTACCCATAAAGCAAATTCCAATTGTTGTCATACCTTTTTTGCAGATGACCTCTTAATATCCTGTAAAGCATCAATCTCTAATGCCAGAATCCTTCAAGAAATTTTTAAACATTTTGGAGATGCATCAGGCCTTAATATCAGCTATCCAAAGAGTAGTGTGATATTCTCTAAAACTATCGGAAGAAGAAGAAGAGCAATTCTGAACCTGCTACAATGCAAAGAGGAACAGCTTCCTTTAAAATATTTGGGGATACCACTGTGTTCAACTGGTTTAAAGAGACCTCACTGCAATGTTCTTATTGACAAAATTTCTCAGAAGCTTAAGGACTGGAGCACCAGGTTGTTGTCAATTGCAGGCAAGACAAAATTGATTAAAATTGTTATCACACCTATCTGTTTGTACTGGTACAGTGTCTTCCACTTGCCTATTGCTATCATCAATCAAATTCAGAAGATGTGCAGAGACTACATATGGGGTAGTAGAGATAATTTGAAGAAAATTCACCTTCTAAGCTGGGATATGATGTGTAGATCAAAAATTGAGGGAGGCTTGGGTATCAGAAAATTGAAGGATCTTCACGTTGCCTCCCACTGTGTTTTGGCTTGGGATTTCTTGCTGAGTAAAGATAGACTATGGGTCCCTTGGTTTCAAAACAGGTATGCAACTAGATCTACATATTGGAAGCAGTTCCAAAGTCTTCTCATTCATTTCTGTGGAAAAACTTGCTTAATATTAGAGATATAATGCTGAAGAACATTCAATTTTCAATTGGATCTGGGCAACTTTTCAAGGTTTTGACAGACCTTTGGTGTGAGGGGGAAACATTACTACAGAAATTCGGACCTAGATTGGTTAGAAGGCTGGGGTTCTCATGGTCTTCTCTTTTGTCCAGTTTAATAATAGACGGAGGATGGAACTTTGCTCTTTTGCAGGATGAAATCTTCAGGCCTATTAAAGACTACTTGCAACTCCTACCTATCCATGCTAGACCAGATAGATTACTTTGGGATGGTGGTGCCTTTGCTTTCAAAAAAGCTTGGCAAGGTTGTAGAACTATATGTACTGAGGTTATGCGGTCCAAAGTATGCTGGGGAAAGCAAGACCTCGATGGTCAATGCATGGAGTCTTTCTATTTCAAGACAGATTGCCTACAATGTACAATTTGCAAAAGAGGAAAGTGTTGTTGGCTCCACGCTGCTCAAATTGTTTACAACAGATTGATACCAGGGACCATCTGTTTGTTCAGTGTCCATTTGCTAGGAATTTTTGGGGCTGGTTGAAGGATACTATTGGATGGGGACTGGATCTTAACTCAATTTATACAATGGATGGTATGCTGATGTGGTTTTTACAGCAGACCAGTAAATTATTCCATACCATACTTGTTGCTGGCTGTTGGAGTATTTGAAAAGAAAGAAACCAAAGATTGCATGGTCACAGCTCTATTCCACTTCTGAGGTGGCTAGACAAATTCTATTTGAAGTCTTAGATGTGTATAATGTCTCACTTAGAGACATTCTTTAATTAACACTTTATTGTTTTTCTTTTCTTTATTGGAATTGATTTTCTTTTAGAAATTGTTCTTTCCAGTAAAATTCTGGGGGTATGCCCTCTGTGCACCTGTATGTACATTTTTTTTTTATTATACATAACCCAATTATGAAAAATAAAAAATAAAAATAAAAAATAAAAAAAGAGCAAGCTTGTATATATGAAATATAATGTAAACTGATATATTACTGATATGCATCTTGAATCTATTGTTACAACTGCAAGAGGCTATTTATAGCCATAATAAAAGAAGAAAGCTAAGGAGGTGGCAGCAACAAACGAAAAATATACATGTGAGGATTGATTCTACAACTTGTGAGGCCTTGAGACAAGTATACAACCAGTATTCTAACATATATTCTAACAAAAATAAACATGAAAACAACACAACCTAGAATCAACACGGACAGTCGTATCAAGACATATAACACCATCTATTAACTATTAACAGGAAATCGAACAGAGAAAAGGCAACATCACACCAAAAAATACATGCATGAACAGATACATATACATATACATATACCCAAAAAAATTACATCGAAGTAACAGAGAAACGAACCTTGCTTCAATTTCTTAACACCCCTATCTGGGTTGAAGGCAGCGTCTGGCCCAACTCTCTTCCGACTATCCATTGCAAGCAAAACGCAGGTCGAGATCCGAACAACTAGAGAGAGAGCAAACGAATCCAAAAACCTGAGATTGCAAGCTATAAAAACCCTCAGAGAGAGAGAAATTTGACATTTTTTTATAAATATAAAAATGTGAGATATTTGAGTAAACTAATATATTATTTATGAATAGAAGTAGAGTAACCAATTCAATCATTTATTAATAATTTATTTTAACTTAAATCTTTGGTCGGCTCTCTATTTTTTCAACTCCCTTCGGATAGTGACCCAACCATTTATTTAATTGTTTCTTTTAATGATGTTTCATAATTACAGTTAAAAATATGATTCTGGTATAGATTGCTAGGAGCAAATCGAAAAGTACAAAACCAAGAAACCCTAATAAGAAAGTAATTTATATATTCCTAATTTTCTACCTATTAGTATTTGATATATATATATATATATATATATATATATATATATATATATAACTATGTAAGGGTGGATCGTTGTGTATGTTTAGGTGGGCTCAAGCCCACTCCAAATTTTTTTATTATTTTTTTTACTATAAGTAATTTTTTACACGTCTGAAAAAAAAAATTTATCAATCTCCAATGGCCTCTCAAAGAATGGAGTCTCAAGTGGATGTGGATGAAAATAAAGCACTCCAATGGCCTCTCAAAAGACCTCTCATATTTTGAGATTCTCAAATGTATTATCAAATATATCAGCTCTCAAATGGCTCTCGAACTCAAAATATAACAAGTGGATAAAAATAAGTACTCGGCTCTCAAAACATGGAATGGTTGTTGTGTCAAAAAATAGCATTTAGGATGAAATGCTACATTGGAGCAGAATTGCAAAAATATAGCATTTTGACACTCTGTATCACCTCTCAAAATGTAGATTTGGCATGGAAATATATCATTTTGCATTGGAGATGCTTTGTATTAGCTCACTCAAAAAAATATTAGCCCACCCTATTAACAGTTTCTGAATCCGCCCTTGTATATACAGAGTACCAAACCAAGAAATCCAAATAGGAAATCAATCAATTGCAACAAAGTCATCAATAATGAAAGATTTAAAGGAAGCACGATGGCCCAAATTAAGCACTAGATCTCAACTCTATCCTCTTAACGCGCGCGATGAGGAGTACTTTATTCTCGTACAATTGATTTCCAACGCAGAAGATCTCCGTCATGGAGTACATTGGCGAACTCTTCGCCGCCGGCATTCATGTTGATGGCACTTGCAGTTTTTCCTATTTGGGTCTGAGAAACTAGCCGTTTGGTCCTAGAGTTTGGAGCTATCCGACCGCCGATTGTAGGCTGTCGATGGAGCTTTTCCGTTTGATCTTAGAGGTCTACTCGTTTCCACATTATCATTTTTGTTTTGATTGAATTGTGTTTAAAATCATAACATAGTGGGTGTGACAAGGCACATTTATTTATTATTAAGTGTGAATTCAAGATGTTTAGAGAGAAAGTATTGATGATGATAAAAAAAATAAAAAATAAGAAAACCCGTCAATTCTTTGCAAATTAAACTTTAAAACAATCCTCAGTCTTTTAAGCCCACCATTTGGATTTGAGAGAGTTGGAAGGAAAGAAAAATAAGTAATGTCAAGTATTTTGTCTAAATTTGTGGAAGAAAAAAAGAAGATTTGGAGGGTTAATTTTACCCTTTAAAAAGTAGATTTTGTATCATTCCAAAGGGAAAAAAAATGTTTAAGGAGACTTTGATAATATTAGAGTTAATACTTTTTATGAGAATATTAGTTTGAAAACAAATGTAACTTCTATAAGATATATCATTGGTCTTAAAATAGTTAATATACCTTGTATTCTATGTTAAATTTAAAAGGGCATAATTGTAAATTGATATAATAATTTCCTTCTTATCTCTATCCAAAAACGACGATGAGTAAATTGGTTTCGGAATCTCTCTAAACCTAAGGATCTCCAAACCCACATTCCGTAACTATGAACATGTCACGTCATCACTTGTGTAACTACCCATTAATATTATGTCATGATTGTTAGAAATTGTGAATGAAAATTGTTTGATTAGTCATCAATAGATGCCTTTGACTGAACAGGTGTGATCAATGGTTGGTTGTGGAATGAAAAGATACAACCCAAAAGCAAGAGACACCATGTGAACCATTACAACATATTGGAATGGATGTGTCTGGCGGTGAACAGACACCATGTGAACCATTGCAACCTATTGGAATGGATGTGTCTAGTGGTGAATAGACACCATGTAAACCATTGCAACCAAATGGAATGGTTATGTCCAGTGATGAAGAGACACATATAAATGGTTGTGTCCAATAATGAAAAGACACATATAAATGGTTGTGTCCAATGATGAAGAGACACACACAATCTGAAAAGGCATTTCTATTTCTATAAATATACCCTTAGGTTGCCATTTGCAAGAGGTTCAATTCAATTTTTTCTCTCCCCCTCTCTAGACTTGAAACCAACCCAAGTGGGTTCAAACCATAGGTCAAGTGGTTCGAGCCACTTGAACCCTAATCCAATTTCATCAAACCATATTAAGATTGGTCCGAAACATTTAGTTCGGATTGCATCCAATTTAGCATGAGAGTATTACACGGAGGAGGTCTGCCGTATCCACGAATTTGTATATAAATCTCCTCCTCTAGGTCACCACGTAGGAAAGCAGTTTTGACATCTAACTGCTCAGGGTGCACTGCTGCAACAATGCTAAGATTTAAGTGAATGGTACCCAGTTTCACAACCGGGGAAAAAAATGTCTATGTAGTCAATGCCCTGCTTTTGCTGAAAGCCCTTGACCATCAATCTGGCCTTGTATCTCTTAGAACCATCATGTTCCTCTTTTACTATGTACACCCATTTGTTGTGAAGAGCTTTCTTCCCCATGGGCAACTTGGCTAGTTCCCATGTTTTGTTGGAGATAAGGGACTTCATCTCATCTTCCATTGCAAGCTCCCACTTGCTAGCATCTTCAACCTGACATGCTTCATCATAGCATTCAGGTTCACCATCATCTGTGAGCAACATATAATCCATATACCACTGATTCAGTACATAAGCACACGTGGGCCTTTTGGGTGCAGGTTTTTTATTTTTATTTTTTATAAGTAAATAATTCATAAAAGGCCAAATACAAAAAGCATGGTACCCTAAGGCCCCAAGGAGGTCAGGAAATCAATTGTCTCCTCAGAAGAAGAACAATGTCTACCTGAAATCAAGAAAAAAAAAAAAAAAAAAAAAGATAACTAATAACATAGGACTTAAGCATAGCAACCGACGACTCCTTTCCTTCACTATTACGCTCCTTCCACAGGCACCACCATAGACTCAAAGGCGCAATCCTCCAATACCTTCGAGCTTGAGGTCCCACTCTTCCCCCTCTCTAGGCATCCATTAGACCTCTCGTTGATCTAGGCATGACCCATGAAACTCCGAAGAGGTTAAACAAAAAACTCCAACGTCACTGGACAATGCAAAAGAAGATGATCCACCGTCTCTTCATTACACTTACACATACAACACCAGTTAACAGTAATCCGATTTCTCTTCCTCAAATTGTCAAGCGTCAAAATTTTGCCTCATACCGCTGTCCACGCAAAGAAAGCCACCTTAAGCAACACCTTGGAACGCCAAATAGCCTTCCACAGAAACGTAATCCCATCCGTGTCACTAAGACATCCAAAAAAGGATCTCACACTAAAACTTGCTTTAGCAGAAGGAACCCAAACCATCAAGTCCCTACCTCCTCCAGGAATCTTCTGTCTATACAATAACTCCAACAATCCAAAAACATCCTCCAACTCCCAATCCTAAAAAGATCTCGTAAACAGCACGTCCCATGTCATCCTCCCGTTATCAAGACAATAGCAGTCAGCAACCGAGGCCTGTCTGTTAAACACAATCCTAAACAGTATGGGGTAGAGGCCTGCTAAGGTACAATCACAACACCAAACATCTTCACAAAACCGAATCTCTCTACCATCCAGAACTCTGAATCTGATATGCTTAGAAAACTCATTCCACCCCTTCCGAATGGCTTTCCACACGCCCACCCCTCCCGAAATCCTTACTGTATCTGAACACCACCCTCCCCAAACTGATACAAGATAACTCTCCTCCATAACCTATGATGCTCAATACCAAACCGCCACAACCACTTGCGAAGAAGAGCCCTGTTAAAAGGCACTAACCTCCTAATCCCTACTCCTCCAAATTGCATGGCCTGCAAACCTTCTCCCAACGAACAAGATGATACTTGAATTCATCCCCTAAAACTCCCCATAAAAAATTCCTCTGCAATCTCTCAATCGACTCAGCCACCGTTGACGGAATTTGGAATAAGGACAAAAAGTAAGTAGGAATGCTCGATAAAGTGCTCTTCAGCAAGGTGACTCTCCCTCCTTTCTATAAAGTACTGCTTCTTCCATCCAGCAAGTCTCCTCTCCACCCTCTCTACCACTGAATCCCAAGCACCCACAGTCTTTGTGGAAACCCCAAAAGGCATGCCTAAATTAAAAATCGGAAAGGAAGTAACCCCACACAATCAAGAGTATAAGCTAATTCCTCCAAATTGTGAACCTCCCCCACCGGAATCATAGCACTCTTTCCCACATTCAATTTCAATCTCGAAACTGCCTTAAAACACACCAACACAGACCTCAAATATCTCATCTGGGACACCTCTTCCTCGCAGAAGACCAACATATCATCTGCGAATAGTAAATGAGAAATCTCCACAAAATGATTATCCTCCCTTCCCACCCTGAATCCCCTGATGAACCCCAACTCCACTACCCTCCCCATCAACCGACTAAGTGCCTCTATAACAATAACGAACAAAATTGAAGAGAGAGGTCGTAAACCTCGCGAACTACTAAAATAACCGGTCGGAGACCCATTAACCAGCACCAAGAATCTCGCTGTAGAAATGCAGAACTCAATCCATCTCCTCCATTTTTACCCAAAGCCCATCCTTTCCAACATATATAACAAAAAGTTCCAATTAACATGGTCATAAGCTTTCTCAACACCAGTTTACACACAACTCCTGGGACACCACTCTTCAA